CCAAACCTTCAGAAGAAAGCACGTGGGGAAACGCACATGAAATAGCGTAAGCAGGTGAGAATGAAAGTAAATGTAACAAGTTGATTAGTCTGAAAAATATGTACTTCAGCCAAGAAACACAGCTGTTACTTTTTTGCTCCACAAACAGGTCTTGTCTACCTTGGATGAACCCAAAAAACAGTCTGAATTTCTGGTGTGACCAGTGACCCTCAAAGCCCTCCCTTCTCACACCAAACCAGAGCACCTCCTCACGTATCTACACCTGATAGTTCTGTCAACAGCCTCCACAGTGCTCATCTGAGCAGCACCTGATAGAATGTTTGAAGAGTCTGTGTGACACTAACCACAAGAAAACCAAGCCCTGAGCTTCAGTCAGTGGGCATTTGTTTTATACCAGCCTTGGATGCAGCACAAGGGCAGCACTGCATGAAAAACACCACATTGTGTGCTGGTTCCTCTAAGAGCATCTTATATGAAATAAAGATAAAAATACAAGCAATTTACTTACTGCTCACCACAGAAGATATTTCTGAATTGCTGCAAATACTTTATTGTGTATATTTTCTTCCTGCAAATAATACTTAAAGCCTGATGTGTATTAGAGTTCATTTATAGGTAATTTAAGAACAGTTTTTCATATAACTTAATGTTAGCTTTTCTTTTTTATTGTGCAGTGGTTGTTTGGAGATGCTCTGTTGTTGAAAAGATGATTTCAGTGTATGCTAGCAAAAGAAAAAAGGAACCTGGATGTTTCTGAATTACACTAAACATGCTTGTAAATTTTATGCGAGTATCATGACCTACCCATGGGCTTTCTATATTCTTAACACAGAACATTACAGTTCAACCTGCATGCCACAGCTCTTCTTTACAAGAAATATGATTTTGATTTCTCTGGCTTTATGTTCAGCCTGAAATTCAACTGCAAGCTGTCCGGAATTCCTGCAACTGCTGTTGCAGAGAAATTAACTGTTAATTTGTAGCCCTTCTTACCAAATTAGCAGGAGATAAGGTCAAAGGATGCAGAAAAGACAACTGCATCAATTATGAAGGTACCCAAAGGTAAGAGTACGAACCGGCAGAATAGAAGCTGACTCGTATCAGTTAATGGTAACAAAATCATGACCAGATTCGAGCCTATTCTGTTAGAAAAGCCTCATTAACTTCTATGCGGATCTCAGGGGCAAAGAGTAAAGAGAGTTAGAGAACTATCTCTTTTCTTTGAAGAAACACTAGCCCTGTGCTACCCCTCTGCATACAAAAAAAGCAATGACTGTTCAAACGAAGCTCATTCCAACACCCTAGACCTTCAAGATTGGGCCAGAGAGGCTTAGGATTCTATGAGACCTCAGGCCAGCCTGCCCACCTACTAACACTAACACAAACCCTAACCCTAACCCATAACCCTAACACTAACCCTAACACTAACCCTAACCCTAACCCTAACCCACTAACCCTAACACTAACACTAACTCTAAACGCCAATCCTAACCCTAACCCTAACATAAACTTAACCCTAAACACAACCCTAACCCTAAAACCTAACCCTAACTAACCCTAACCTAACCCTAATCTAACCCTAACCCTAACCCTAACCCTAACACTAACCCTAACACTAAAACTAACCCTGAACACTAACCCTAAAACTAACTCTAACCCTAACTCATAACCCTAACACTAACACTAACCCTAAACCTAAACCTAACTCTAAACCCTAACCCTAACCCTAACCGTAACCCCTAATCCTAACCCTAACCCTCACCCTAACCAAAAACCTCACCCAAGCCCTAACCCTAACGTAACCCCTAACACTAAACCTAACCCTAACCCTAAACCCTAACCCTAACCCCAAACCTAACCCTAAAGCAGTACTAACCCCTAACCCTAGGCCTAACCCTAACGCTAACCCTAAAGCTGTACTAACCCTAACCCTAACCCTAACCCTAACCCTAACCCATAACCCTAACACTAACCCTAAACCTAAACCTAACTCTAAACCCTAACCCTAACCCTAACCGTAACCCCTAATCCTAACCCTACACCTCACCCTAACCAAAAACCTCACCCAAGCCCTAACCCTAACGTAACCCCTAACACTAAACCTAACCCTAACCCTAAACCCTAACCCTAACCCCAAACCTAACCCTAAAGCAGTACTAACCCCTAACACTAGCCCTAACCCTAACGCTAACCCTAAAGCTGTACTAACCCTAACCCTAACCCTAACCCTAACCCTAACCCTAACCCTAACCCATAACCCTAACACTAACACTAACCCTAAACCTAAACCTAACTCTAAACCCTAACCCTAACCATAACCGTAACCCAAACCCTAAACCCAAACTCTAAGCCTAACCCTAACCCATAACCCTACTAACCCTAACACACCCCAAGCCATAACCCTAACCCTAACACTAAACCCTAAGCCTAAACCTAACCCTAACACATAACCCCTAACCCTAACCCTAACCCTAACCCTAACCCAAACCCTAAACCCAAACTCTAAGCCTAACCCTAACCCATAACCCTACTAACCCTAACACAACCCCCTAAGCCTGATAACCCTAACCCTAACACTAAACCCTAAGCCTAAACCTAACCCTAACACATAACCCCTAACACTAACCCTAACCCTACTAACCCTAAACCTAACCATAACCCTAACCACTAACCCTAACACTAACCCTTAACCCTAACCCTTAACCCTAACACTAACCCTAAACCCTAAACCTAAACCTAACCCTAACCCTTAACCCTAACCATAACCCTTAACCCTAACACTAAACCTAACCCTAAACCTAAACCTAACCCAAACCCCTAAACCTAACCCTAACTCTAAAACCTAACCCTAACCCTAAACCTATTCAGCCCCTAAACCTCACTGTAACACTTACCCAACTAACAACCTAACCCTAACCCCTAACCCTAACCCAAACCGTAAACCTAACCCTAACCTAACAGAAACACTAACCCTAACTCTAACCTAACCCTAACCTACGCCTAAACATAACCCTACTAACCCTAAACCTAACCCTAAACATACCCCTAGCCCTAACCCTAACCCTAACCCTAACCCTATCCTACCCCTACTAACACTAACCCTAAACCTACTAAACCTAACCCTAACCCTAACCCCATAACCCTAACCCTAAACCTACTAAACTTAACCCTAAGCCTAACCCCCTAACACTAATCCTAACCCCCTAACCCTAGCCCTAACCCCTAACCATAACCCTAACGCAACCCTAACCCTAACCCTACCACTAACCCTAATTCTAACCCTAAACTTTAACCCTAACCATAACCCTAATCCTTAAAACATAATCCTAACCGTATCCCTAATCCTAACTTTAACCCTAACCCTAACCAATGACACTAACCCTAAGCTAACGCTAAACCTAACGCTTACCCTAACCCTAAACCTAACTCTAAAACCTAACCCTAACCCTAAATCAATTCAGCCCCAAAACCTCACCATAACCCTTACCCAACTAACCCCCTAACCCTAACCCCTAACCCTAACCCAACCCCTAAACCCAAACTCTAAGCCTAACCCTAACCCCTAACACTACTAACCCTAAAACAACCCCCTAACCCTGCCAACCCTAACCATAACCCTAACCCTAAGCCTAAACATAACCCTAACACATAACCCCTAACCCTAACCCTAACCCTACTAACCCTAAACCTAACCATAACCCTAACCACTAACCCTAAACCTTAACCCTAATCCTAACCCTTAACAATAACACTAACCCTAAACCCTAACCCTAAACCTAACCCTAACCCTTAACCCTAACCCTAACCCTTAACCCTAACACTAACCCTAAACCCTAAACCTAAACCTAACCCTAACCCTTAACCCTAAACCTAACCCTTAACCCTAACACTAACCCTAACCCTAACCCTAAACCTAAACCTAACCCTAACCCCTAAACCTAACCCTAACCTTTAGCAGTAACCCTAAACCTTAACCCTAACCCTAACCCTAACCTTAACACCTAACATTAACCCCTAACCCTAACCCTAACCCTAACACTTACTAACCCTAACCCCTAACCCTAACACTAAACCGTAACCCTAACCATAACCCTAACCCCGCTGCTGGGAATGTTCAGCACACAGTCAGCTTTGCAACGGTGCCACCATCATTGCTGTCGCTCCTTGGTTTCATACCTAAAAGTCCATTTGAATGGAACCTCTCCAGCGGTCGGTCGAGGCTGCCCAGAAGCACAGTGAGTAGAGCACACCACACGTGTAACACGGGGCAGTCAAGCAGTCCCACAAATCAATGACACTACTCACCTACATGCAAGCATTTTGCTGAGTAGAATTATCTAAACAAATGTGATCACAAACCTACTTTTCATCAGAATTGTAGCGATAGGACAAAAGGTAATGGGTTTAACTTAACCAGGGAAAGTTTGGATTAGATATAAGGAAGAAGTTCTTTACTGTGAGGGTGGTGAGGCACTGGAACAGGTTGCGCAGAGGAGCGTCAAATCCTCCATCTCTGGCAGTGTTCAAGGCCAGGTTAGACAGAACCTTGGATAACATGGTGTAATGTAAGGTGTCCCTGCCAGTGGCAGGGGGACGGAACTAGATAATCTTAAGGTCCTTTCCAACCCTAACCACCCTATGATTCTATGAATCCCATCATTCTGGGACAAGTGCTGTGTCCACAGCGAGCCCATATAGTCATTGGTAGTAGTAAAATGAAGCCTAAAATCTGCTCGCTATAATTGAAGGGTATGTTTAGTGGATGACTGTTTCCATCACCCAGCACTGCAGGTAAAATTTACAGGGTGAAGAAGCGTTTCACAGAGGTCAGGCTCTCTATCTCGCTGTTGTCCTTTTAAAGTTATTCCACTTTTCCTAATGTAACCTCTTGACTCTGTTATCTATCCCATGTCACCTCCACTTCATGCTTGTAAGTGTACTTACACATGAAGTAGCCAGTACTTAACTGCTAATACAAGTGGTAAAGAAATCCCACTTACTTGCACCTTTAAGCAGGAGTTGCTCCTCTTCCTTCAGCCTGTTCTGCGTAAGACGGAGCATGTTTGCTGCTTCCTGCAAAAGGTAAAACCAACTGAATTAGAATAGCTGCCATGTTGGTCGGTCAAGTAGCTAACTGGAGTCACACAACAATAGTTCAGGGTACTCAGAGGTAAGATGAGAACAGAACATTTCAGCATTAAAAATATTTTAGGTAAAAAGGGTCTTCATTGAAAAAATGGGAGCTCCTACTTACTTTGCCCACAAGGGTCAGAATATAAAGAGTACAGGTAAAGAGTACACTGAAAATCAGCCATACATTCCCACCAGCTGAAACCTCACTGAACACATTGAAAATGAATTTATCTTCCTTCCACAGAAAATAAAGGCTCTTTAGGGAACAGAAGTGTCTTTCTTTGGAAAGCAGGCCTTGGTAGTTATTTTCAACCTATTGGTTGAAATGGCTGCAGCTTCATAATACACAAACTAAACCAAGCATGCAAACAAAACAGGAGCCAAAAGCCCAACCAATAAGCTGGAGAATTAGAGCTGTATACTATACTACCGTATTTGCAAAAAGAGAACCATGGCAGCAAGACTGCACAAGGTGGCTTGTTGAATTTCTGTTGTGAATATAGCAGATTGTTAGATAAAAATATGCTGAGAAACACTACTGTAATGACAGGGTGATGAAGTTACATCACGTGCAGTTCAGAGCAAGTGGAAAAGGTGGGTAGAGCAGTGGCTGCCTTGCTGAGGAAGAGGAGCAATTCACAAGTCTCAGCCCATTCAAATGAAGGCCAGTGATGATAAAAGAACATTACAAAAAAGCCCACAAGGACTTACAAGACACGCGGCAGCCCAGAAGGGAAGAAGCAAACTGGTGGCAGAGGGCAGCAGCAGTTACAACAGACATTCTCATTAGAGCATAATGGATTAGTAGGAAAACAAAGATGGCTCTGTAGACAGTAACTGATTAGACTAATTTTAATCTTCTGGGATGCATGCACTTGCAGTTCATCATGGACGAGGTAGACTAAAGAAGCTATGTGGTTGCTGAACACTACAAAGTAATTGTAAGAGGTGTTTCACTGAGCTCTTGAAGTTCTCCATCCAGTTAGGACTAAAATCTAGCAAAGATACCAAGAGACCAAATTTTAGCAACTAAGGTTCATGGTTCCAATAGCATCATCTGACAGAAAAATATATTTTTAATGACATCTCAATTAAATTTGGCTAATGTTAATGGTGAATAGCAAATTAAACATGATAGAGTAGGTAAGATATTAATGCAATCAGATTCAGATAAAACCTGCAATACTAAACAGGTGGCAAACAACTGCTGGAAGGATTTAGCTACAAATTTTGCTAATTTTAGTCTTTTCAATTCCAGTCAAGCAAGACAAGTAGATGGAAAAGCTAATTAACTGTGTATTGAACTAAGGTTGTTCTGAGTCTTTGATTTTTCTGTGCAAAATATGCTGATAATTAAAAACACCAGCTGCTTTGACATGGTCAGATTTGCACATTTATAGTGCATGTGCTGAAATAAAACTGATTCAGTTGGAATATCCATGGGACAGAGGGAAGAAAGAGCATCTGAAAATGGTTGAATGGTTACCAAAGAAGGTTACCTGCCTCCTCTCCATCCATGCTGTTGACCATGACACAAGGGACCTCCATATAGCAGGAATACATCCACACAGAGCCTGCAAACCTGCACAGCTCAGTTCCATTGAGAAGAAGGGTAACCATTGCAATGACTAACATTTTCCATCCCCCTCAGTGTTAGCAAAGCCTTTTAAAGACCGATAGAAGTTGAAAAGAATTTGGACATGAGGTAAAATCCTTGGAGGTTTCTAGCTACCAGTGTTCCCTTCAGTCTCTATAGCATGTATTGAGTCCAAGAGCTCCCTTCACAACTGTGGATCCCAACATTTTCTGACTGAGCCTCACAGTTGCTATCTTCTTCATAGAATCATAAAATCCCAGGTTGGAAGGGACCTCAGGGATCCTCTAGGCAAAGCATGACCTAGACTAGATGTCCCAGCAATCTGTTCAGTTGAATCTTAACAGTGTCCAACATTAGGGAATTCACCACTTCCCTGGGGAGATTACTGCAGTGGCTGGTTGCTCTCACTGTGAAAAATTTTCCTCTTGTGTCCAGCCAGAATCTCCCAGGAGTAACTTGTGACCATCACCCTCCTCTTTTTTCATGTGATTCCTTGTAAAAAGGGAGTCTCCATCTTCTGTGTAGCCACCCTTTAAATAATGGAACGTGTTACTTTCCCTACCTCTTCTTCCCTATCTTGTTTCTCCCAGTTATAAGACTTAAAGATTTAAACAAGTGATTTAAGCAAGTCTTGCCCCTGCCCCAGCAAACATTTATCATACAGCATTGCCATTGCTATGTCTTTGGGAAAATGGGCTAAGCAAGGGATCAGGCATCACAGTCTGCACAGTGCATACGGCAAAGAAAACCTACAGGGAGGAAAAAAGAAAGGATGTTTCCCAAATGTCATGGGGACAAATTAATTTCTAAAATGTTCACAGACAAGTGAAATAATGGGGACAGATATAATCACTGCCTAACACTGTAATTCGGCACCTGTTAAGACAGCTGAAGCTGGCAATTCAAATTCAGTCAAATAAGCAGTCACCCTGCCCTGCAGCCTGAACCCTTGTTCGTTTCCTTCCATTACTCTCCCTCCCTGATGCAAGCATTTGTGCAGCAACTCAAAAGAAATCTGATGAAAACTAACCTATCAGAACAAAATTAAGGCAGGGAAACTTCCACTGCAGTTCAGCATGGGGCTACACAAATTCCTGACTGGCACAACAGAGGATGGGACATTGCAGCTGTGGGACAAACAGCAGCAGTAAGAAGATGAGCTACCGTTGGTTTCAGCTTCTGGGCTGGTTTACAGACCTAAAATACAGGAGAAATTAAGTCTAAGAAAATGGTTTAACCATATAGGTGAGCCACTTTTGACCCTTTCTTCTGGCCTTTTACTTGTGGTGCTGCCAGCACCTCTGATGATCTCAGAGCAAGTCAGCCTGGAGATGTAACCAGCAGGAAATATGATTTTCTACTGGTGTAGGTTTCTGAATAATTCGACGCATGGTCAGTCAAATGCTGCAGCTAACCCAAGGGAGCTGCTGAGACTGTACATCTTTTAGCTGTCCTGCCAGACTACACCCTGCAAGAGCTTAGCAAATACTGCAGCAACAAACACTGTTTTAAAAGGGCAGCCTCAAGCCAGTTGGAACCAGGACAGCAACAGTCAAGCACTGTTTACAGACCTTAACAAGGAAGATCTTCAAAGGAGAGGGCAGAAGCAATGGCAGATCATCTATCTAGCAAGTAAAATTTATCATTTTTTACAGTTACACACTCACCTTAAAAGAATCTGCAGAGCAGATCTGTTAAATTAGTGAAAGAACTACAAGAGAGGTCCCTTCCAACCCTTGGGATTCTGTGATTCTGTTCTATTGCTTCAGGATTTTAGGTTTAAAACTAATGGCAACTTTTAAACAGCTGAATCAGTGTCAGCTTCAGCTTCTCTTTCTGCCTGCTGCTTTTAGTGATGGTAATCATCAGCCTGCATCTTCTGACTTGACTGGCTTCCACCTTCGCTGCAGACACCCCTCCCCACACTTCACTGTCTCTTAACAGAATGGGTTTATATCAGCCCTGCGAAAGCAAGACCATGCTAATCAGAGATGTCTTTCTGGTTTAGGCTGGCCTGTTCTGCATGACCCAGGGCTTCTGACATGTGACAAGGGAGAAAAGCTGAGGGCATGATTGAGCATAACACCAGGGATGCTCTTTCAACACGTAACATTGTACAAGGGACTAGCTCTGCACAGTACAGCAGTCATGTTTTGTGGGTGGAGTGTCAGGCTGACAGCTCCAGGAAACACAAGCAATGGCCTTGACCTCGTGAAGCACCTGTGGGGAAGTGGCTGAGTGCCTCGAGATGTGGTATGAGCAGGAGCCAATACCCCAGCACCCTGCTCTATCTCTCCAGTAAGCAAACAAGACTGAAACGTTGCAGGCAAACACAAAACGTATCTTACTCGAAAAGCAACTTTGCCCAAATACACTGGGGAATCACAGTGTCAAATTAACAAAGTGCCCATTGACACAAAACCAGAGCAAACTGCCCCAGAGTGGGCTCCCAGGCCTGGAGCACACCAGAGATTGAGGCTGAAAAATCCTGCTTTAGAGGCAGACAGATCTCTGCTGAAACAGAACCTTTCCTCCTGTGTTTCATATACTACGTAGCCTTTTCTAGGTGTAAACCTGCCTCTGGCATACTCTGGAGACCTAGAGCAGACAGCCCAGTGAAACAGGCAGCAAGGCAGTTCCTGTTGCTAACACGCAGACCCCCAGAACAACCTTGGCTCCAGGGAACCTCCAGAAGTCCCCAGCCCAACCTCCCGCTCAAAGCAGGATCAGCAATGGGATCAGACCACAGCACTCGAGGCTTGAGCTAGGGGAGTCTTCAAAACCTCCAAGCAGAGTGACCAGTCAACCTGTCTGTGCAAATCTGTTCTGATTCCTGACTAACCAAACAGTGAAAAAGTTTCCTTTATCAAGTCAGAACTTTTTTTTCATCCCTAATATAGTTTGTCCATGCTTTTTAGCACAAAGTTTCAGGTCAACTTAGTCACCAGTTGTCTCACCAGCTTTCCATAGCAGCCATCTCATCTTGTGACACTTAAACAAATAGTCTCTGTAGCAACAGGAAAGAAAGAATCCTTTTGTTGAGATACTAGGACAGGCAAAAGCTGTTAAAACAAGTACATTATACCCATATTTATAATCAACTGTGCTTTTTTCACACCCATTTATCTGTCCAATTCAGTAAATACGTTATCTGTCTTCTACAGCACACTGATCGCACTAAAGACAAATGTACAGGTTTTGTAGAATGGAGTTCGAATTGAGCCCAACACAGGTACTCTGCATCTCAAATCTACATTAACTGGCAAAGCAGATGGATTACCATCTCCTATCTGACTCTGAAAGTCTTTGGAAAAGAGCAATAAAACACCACACATGGCTGTTG